GCACAAGATATTGGACATAATATTATGTTTGCTGACTGGGAACAGTTGTGGACCACAGGTATGAAATTTACGGCATGTAATGCCTTAAGAGAAAATATTATGAAAATGATATACAGGTGGTACATAACCCCAGTCAAGCTTGCAAAAATCTACCATTTGCCCGATAATAAATGTTGGAAATGTAAAGAAACCGAAGGTACATTCTTTCACCTTTGGTGGACGTGCCCAAGGATTAAGGCTTTCTGGGAAATGATATATAATGAATTAAAAATGGTATTTAAGTATACCTTCCCTAAGAAACCAGAGGCCTTTCTCCTGGGCATAGTGGGCCAAATGGTGGTAAAAAAGGATAGAACTTTCTTTATGTATGCAACAACAGCAGCAAGAATACTTATTGCAAAGTATTGGAAGACACAAGAACTTCCCACGCTGGAGGAATGGCAGATGAAACTTATGGACTATATGGAACTGGCGGAAATGACTGGTAGAATCCGTGACCAGGGAGAAGAGTCGATGGAGGAAGACTGGAAGAAATTCAAAGACTATCTTCAGAAACATTGCAAAATTAAGGAATGTTAAAGTGATGTTGGACTGAAAATAAGTGGTTTCCAGCTGCACAGGTTAAAGTCAATGATAGATTAAGATTAAAGATCAAGATTAAAGATGTTTAAAGAAATGGAAATTTGATATTAAAAGGGGAAATTTCAACGTTATATGATATTAAGATCAAGGATTAGGTTTAAAGAAGTGGAAGTTATATATTTTAACATTTTATTAAATTAAAGATTGGGATTAAAAAGTGGAAAAGAAACTGCTGGACAAATAATTTGGATTGGAATACAAAAGAGGGAGGTATGAGGAAGTCCAGAAAATAAGTAATCTAAAAATGGAAATGGAAAAGAGAGTTTGTTTTTAATTGTTATGTTTTTTGTTTTTTTTTATTGTTGAGTTTTGTATTGCTTTTTGTGTGTGTTTTCTTTGTTGTTTAAAACTTTAATAAAAATTATTTTTTTAAAAAAAAAAAGAAAGAAAAAACCTAGAGAAATCCTTTGTGAATTCTTAGAGGATGACTTTTCTTTTGGTTGTACTGTTTAGTCTATTTTTTCAAGTAGTGTTTTTATAGAAGGTGGTTGTTTTTACTCATGCACACCCTTTTGCTTGCAATTTCCCCAAACACAATACAGTTTGTATGCTGTGTTCACTATTATTTCATTCCCCCCCCCTGCATATTTCCCCCTAATAAATGCATTTTTAAAAAATACTGTTTGCTTAGCAAACTGCATTGCAAAATTCAGAGAACTGCAAATTTTGAAGGACATCTGTCTTCTGGTTCTCATCTTGTTCTGGAAAGTGCAGAGTTGATAGATTCACCTATAAATAGGAGCCAAATCAAATTGCCCCCATCCCTAGTGACCAGATGGAAAAGGGGGGAAGCCTGTGGCGGTTTTGTCAAGGAACCCATGACCGCTTGTTAAATCAAAGCTGCTTTAAAAACCTTGAATTCCAGCCTTGGGCAAGAGAATCCCTAGGTTGGATTTCTCATTCAGTTGTCACAATTAGCAGTGGGGTATCCTGTCCCCCCCCCCCAGCTACCCATTCATGGACCTGACAGCCGTGTCTTCCAGGTGATGGAACAAACTACATGGTTCTCCTACCACCTAGCACAAGCTGCATAGCCCTTTTGCTCCCCCTTGTGGTTACATGTCAGTACTGGATGCTGACTGGGGGAATTTATTCATGGAATCCTTATTTTCCTTTGCTACCCCCTCATTCCAAGATATTGTTTCTTTCTGTGGCCATGTGCATCGGATTACAAAGCAACCTACAAGTCAAACGTGGGTGGGAGGTGATTTGGTTGCAATCGTGCCCGTCATTTTACTGATGCAGCCATGGAAAGCATTGGTTTGGGGACCTTTTGGAGGCAAAGGAAATAGGAACTGCATTCACAGAGTCATAGACGTGTAGAGTTGGAAGGGACCACAAGGGTCATCTAGTCCAACCCCCTGCAATGCAGGAATCTTTTTGCCCAACATGGGGCTTGAACCCATGGTCCTGAGTCTCGTGTTCAACTGACTGAGCTCTCTCTCTCTCTCTCTCTCTCTCTCTCTCTCTGTGTGTGTGTGTGTGTGTGTGAAACAGCATGAGAAATAATGAGAGAGAGAGAGGGAGGAAAGTCAGGTTAGGAAGAAAGATTATATATCATATTTATTTATAATAAAATTTATATCCCAGCAAAACAGACAGAAAGGAGAAGTGATGTATAGCAGGGATGGGGAATTTGTGGTCCTTCAGGTGCTGCTGATCTTCAGCATCCCTCATCCCCGACCATTGGTCATGCCAGCCAGGGCTGCTGGGCATTGAGAATCCTGCAATTTCTACAGGGCCACAAGTTCCACATCCCTGATTTTCAGGTATAGATGGAGAGGTTTTGCAACACAATCCTATGCATGCCTACTCAGAAATCAGCTGCCTATATTCAGCGAGGCTCCCTCCATACTTCCCTTGGAGCAAATGCCTTGAAGGCATGCATAGGCTTACTGCAGAGCAGATGGGAATTGGATTGCGCGGTTAGTTGTGTGTTTCAACATTTTGGTTTTATGACAACCTACTCGGTATATTTTAAGGCGTAGATTAGCCATAACATTGTGAAAACCACAGTGCGCTGATGAGATATGAATTAAAGTATATATTCGAAACAAAATGCTTGTTTAACCTGGAGGTAGGCTGTATGAAGTGTGTATTGTTTTGTAGTGATTTGTTGGGTCTCTGGACCGTAATAAAGATTGATGATGATGATGAATTAAAGTAAACACCACTGAGGTTTTTAGGTTATAGGGCATATGAAGTCTCGTGAGGCACATTTAAGATTTCTAAGAATGATCTTGCCTGGTTGTATCAATGATCCATCTATTCCAAGGCACTCGGTTATATATCATTATTTTGTGTGTTCCAGGCAGAGGTCTTGGTTCAAGTTCAAGCATTGAATCAGACCCTCCTGCAGTTGTAAGTGTACCTATTATCCTGCAGCCAAAAGTAGTATGATTTTTAATGAGACTTCAGGACACTGGGTGGATCTACACACAGGGAAATAATTGCTATAAATAAGTCAGAAATTAAATTGTTATAATGAAAGGGGGGGAACCCAATGTTATGTAAAATTGCAAATATTTTTTTTGCTCTCCAGCGCCATCTGGTGTTGCATGTTTAAAACACATTCAAAGCACGGTTTTTTTAAACTAATGTGGCTGAGTCCACTGATTCCAGTAGAACTCTAGGGACCCTGAATTTTTTTTAAAGTTTAGTAAGACCACAACACAGATGAGTGCTGCTGTGTCTGCATTGCGTCAGGAACGGTAGTTTCATGGATCTGGTTATGTTTACTCCGCAAATGCACATGCTAGGAGCGAGCCCCACTGGATTCAGTATGACTTGCTTCTAATTAGGTTAGGATTGTGCTGCCTGGCCTTTAACAAGGCTCTCTGTTGTAGAAACCGTAGGTGTTGTTGACTTTTCACTTTTAACACCGGGGAGGAATTATGATGCTGCGATAAAGCTGTAGTGTCTGCTACCCCACCAACATTGCAAACAATAATTGAGGTGGTGGTAGTCACCCAGCCCTTTCTCCACACCCCTGGGCTGCTATTCCTCTTCCCAATTCCTTCTCAAAGAGGGGTTGTTTCTGTGAGTGGATGGGAAAGAGATCAATTATCTTCTTCAGGATGTGAATTCTGCAGAAATCCTGGAGTGAAAGGGCCCAACTAAAAGACAACCTAACTCTAGATTTCTTTTTTAAAAAAAATGAATTAGTTTGCTGGGCATTTGGAAGGCTAAAAAGCCATCCATGTTGTAGCACTTGCTGGTTTTCTTTCTCCTAGTTTGTAACTGGAGCAGCGCACCTGATTGCTTCGGTTGAAGAACCCAGTGTGCTTCAGGAAAATCTCTTCTGACAACCCCAGGTGGCAGCAACACCTAAGGTTAAATGCTCTTCATTGCAAGAGGTTAAAACGGATGAGTGTAATAACTACTTTGCCTTGAATGATCCAAAGAAGCCATGATCAATCTCCTACCTACCCAGAGACCCACTAGGATTTTCATTAAGGTTGGAAATACCCTCAAATAGCTATCTATTTCTTGCGAGACACAATTCATATGTTCCAGGTCCTGGAAACACCTTTGTTCACAATCCTCATCAAAATGCTATTATATACCCCCTCATTTAATCTTAATTAAGAAGTCCACATTTGTGTATGTGTGTGTGAATATAATGGGATATTATGTAGAAATGGTAAATCCAAATTAAATGGGAAGATGAGATGGGACGGCATTTTGATAAGGACAACTTGTGTGGATTCTGCATGAAACATGTGTTAATGAACAGCACTGAGGCGACAATGAACTCTGGAAGCATCTCTTGTTCAGCCAACCCAGGACTGACCCAAGACATTTTGCTGCCTGGAACAGGAAATGGTGCTTCCCCAGAGGCAGAAAATCCCACAAGCACCTTCCTTCCTCCCGGCAAATAAAAGAATTGCAATAATTATTTCACGATCAGTGTGCTGCCTTTCATGACTCTTACAATTAATGGCCCGCGACAGCCACCTCATCCTACCTCAGAGTGGTCCTGTTAGGCCTTTTATCTGGCCCCCAGAACTCTCCCCAGGCCACCCACCCACCACAGGGTACACCCTTCATTGGTCCTCCTTCATATCCAAGAGTTTTCGCTTTGCTGAAATGTGTCATTGAACTCTGACAATGCCTCGTGTTTGTCTGGATAAAGGACAGAGGGGTGTTTGAATGTGTGTACTAACTATCCTACTGAACAAAGGTAAAATGTACCTTTGTTGTTCCACCGGCTTTTGCCTCTGGTCCCTTCCATCCCTGAAAAGTGTCACCACTTCTGCCCCTGGAGAACCTAATCTCCTTCTGGAAACTCTTGGTCCTGTGTCATAAGCAATCATCTGCTTAGAAAAACATACAGCAGATGCCACATTTTTTGTATGCCAGAAAACAAACGTTTATTAAGAAATCACCCGAGGATCTTCCGTGCATCCCGGAAAGCGTGAAAGCAGCAGGGAAGGGAGGAACCATGCTACCAGAGCCACCTTGTAGGCAGAATGTGCCTAACTTTTTAAGCAAGGTTCCTAGAGGAGTTTTCTAAGCATAGGATAGGAGTACATAAATTCCCCCTCCCCTCTAGGTTCAGGTCCTCGTCTGTTCCATGTTGCCTATGGATTTGGTGCCCAGGCGCTGAGATTTCACATGCGGCAGATCTTAGTGTTGATCCGTGGGCCTGGTGGTCCTGGTGGGCATGGGCCGCAAGGGGGCGGGCACAGTGGACCACGTGGGCCACAGGGAGGAGGGCCACAGAGTGGAGGGCCACATGAGACAAACTTTGGCCCACAGGGGTTGACACATGAGGGAGCCAGGTTAGGCTCCACCACGGGCACACATGGCTTGCAGGTTGGTGGGCAGACGGGGGCACAGACTGGCTCCGGCACACAAACTGGCCGGCAGACAGATGATCGAATGGCGGTCGTGCACTCTGGATCACAGGGGCGATTGGGCAGCCTGGAAAAGAAGAACATATCCATGGTTAGACAAGAAGAGTGTGTCTCTGGAGAAGGCTAGCTTCCCAACGTGAGATGGAGAGAGCACATGTTAAGGAGCTAAAGCAAAGGGTCTTGTGTTCTTGGAGCTGTGGATGCTTTCACAGCGACAGCTTGGTGTGAGTTAGTGTTATTCCTCAAAAGGGCCAGGAAGTGAGCTGTAACCTCAAGATGCAAAAATACCCATCCGTTGATTTGAACTGGGTGTTTCCAAATAGCTGCTCTTAGGACCACAGCAAAGGTAAGTTGTTAAAACCGTGTTTATGGAAGACAATCTTACTCGGCTATGAGTGATCGCCAAAGAAGAAGAAGTTTCAGGTACAAGTTCCAGGATGTATGGTGCTTGTGGATCCACTCAACTTGTCTATCCTCTGCTGGGGGGAATAGCTCAGTGGTGTCTACACTGACTAACAGAAGTCCTCTAGGATTTCAGATTTGGGTCTCTCTGATGCCTACCTAGAAATGCCAGCTGTTGCAGCTGGGACAGCATTCATTGTTCCATCCACTTTTGTCTCTGGCATGTGGCCCTTGGAAGGGGGACCCGAAGGGAAGGTCCACCTTGGGATCAGAAGGCTCTCTCTGTCTCCCCCCACCCCACTTTATTGGATCACAGCTGAGTTGAGGTTAACATGCCTAAAGCCAAATCAATCCAGAAGAGGCCATTCTGGCATCGACTACTGTCCTCATCTTACTTACTTGCAGTCTTCTCCTTCCAACATGTTGCGGTAGGTGGCGATCTCACAGTCCAGACGGGCTTTTTCGTCCAGGAGGGTCTTGTACTCGCAGTTCTGGCGCTCAATGTCACAGCGGATTTCGGCCAGCTGGGCCTCCACGTTGCTGATCAGGCACTGGAGCTGGGAGAGCTGGGTGCAGTAGCGGGATTCTGTTTCTTGCAAAGTGCCCTCCAGAGCCCCTTTCTGAGAGACGGAGAAGAAGGCAAGGGAGAGAGAGAGAGAGAGAAATTCATCAGGGCATGTTCTGCTCACACAGCTAAACAAACACAATGGTGCCATAATGCAAGGGTAGCCAACCTGATATCCTCCAAATATTGTTGGACTACAACTCCCATCATCCCTGGCCCTTGGCCTTGCTGTCTGGGGTAGATGGGAGTTGGAGTCCAATAACATCTGGAGGGCACTGGCAGGGACTGGCAAAATGCTGATGCGTGTGCACGGGGGGAAGGGAGTCTGGAGTCTGACTTGGGAGACGGGGGCGGTGATTTGTGGGGACCTCTACCAGCCTGGATGCAAGTGTCAGAGGAAGGGGAAGCTTCAGAGTTAGAGGGTAGAGCAGAGAATGGGTTGGAAGGAGAGAGGGGAAAGGCACGACAGGAGTACGATTCACAAGATAGTGTGAACATGCAAATAGTACTGTTGAACAACGTACCCGACACTGAGCATTCTGGATTCCTACTCACCATGCTCTGCTGAGCCTGTAGGTCAATCTCCAGTGCTTGAACACAACGTCTTGTCTCAATGATTTCTGTCTGGCAGCACTGCAGCTGTTCTCCACTGGAGAGCACCTCCCTGTTGAGCTCTTCCATCTGGTGAATGTTTCAAAAAAGCCCAGAAATTAGAAGGTCACGGGAGTTCTGCCATGAAAGATGGTCAGTGAGACACCTGATTGGGATGGAATTGGCCACTGAGGAGGAGGACCTACCTGTGTACAGTACCAGTCCTCAACTTCCCGGCGATTCTTTTCAAGATCAGCCTCATACTGGCAACGCATCTCGTCCAGGACCTTGTTGAGGTTGCAAGATGGGGCAGCATCCACCTCCACATTGATGCGGTCACCGAGCTGGGAGCGAAGGGCACAGGACTCCTGCGGGAGGGGACAAAGAGGAAGGCAAGGGGAGTATATCTGGAGCCATTTATCATCATTTGCATATCACTTATTCAAAGGGACTGCTGAATATAATTTGGTTGGCTCTTTGATGGTAGACTGGTATTGCAAACTGGTTTCCTGCTTAGAACTTGGATCCTTATGGAATTTTGATTTGGGGAGATTCAGTGGAAGGGGAACACAGATGGCCATAGTTTGGACTGGATGGAAATTTACTCTGGTGGTTGGTGACCCTTAGGGATTTTGCCCTTTACCCATTGTGTATTGGTTGGTTGCATAAGTTGTCCAAAACTCTGCATGTATTTATCCTGGAATGCCCTTATCTCTGTTGGTGGTCTAGATTGTGAAGACCGATCTCAAGGTGGACTGGGTGGGTAGATGTCCCTGGTTTTTTATGTGAACTGGACTAGACCAGGGGTAGCCAATGTGGTACCTTCTGGATGTTGCTGGACTACAACTCTCATCATCCCTGCCCACTGGCCATGTTTACTGGGTCTGATGGGAGTTGTAGTCCAACAACATCCAGAGGACCTCATGTTGACTACCCATGGACTAGAAGATGATCCCAGTGCACTTCCAGCTCCAAAGATCTATGCTCCTTCACCCGTGGTTCAGCACCTGTTCTGGGCTTGGTAGAAGAGATGTTTGGGGCATACCTCCTCGTGGTTTTTCTTCAGGCACATCATCTCCTCAGTCAAGGACTCGAGCTGAGCTTCCAGGTCAGCCCTGCATAGGGTGAGGTCATCCAGCACTCTCCGAAGGCCATTGATGTCAGCCTCATCCCTCTGACGCAGACTCAGCTCATAATCATACCTTCAGGGGGAGGAAAGACAGATTATTGCAGCATAGCTGAGAGGGCAGAATGTTAAACCTGGACCAAGGACTGCTGAGTACCAATCCAAGCTCCAGTGGGCAGCAGTTCTCGCTTTCTGCTGCGACTCTAAGCTCATCCAGAGCACAGCAAGCCACTGGGATTGCTTCTGCTCAGCAGCGCCTGTGTGGAGACAATCCCCACTGGGAGTGGGACTTGCAGTAAACACCAAAAGCAAGTCCTATTTTCAGCAGGAATCTTTGCAGCCCCAGCTTGGGACCAAGCCCTAGCTTCAATGATTCTTCCTTTCCAGTCCCAAATTTAAATTAAAGTCAATCTGTAAAGGAGAAAAAGAAGAATGATGAGCACACAAATGTGCTCTCGATTCCTCCTCTGAAGTTTGACACCTGGTTATTGATGGGTTGGCTGCCCTATCCAGCTGACAAAGATGGCCCTTGGAGGGTGGGCCAGATCTGGATCCATCTCTGCTTTGAGTAGGTGCCACACACCTCAAGGAGACTTACCTCTAAGCAGACATGGATAACTGCCCTAAGCTTTTGTATTCTAGGTGGCAGGGTGATCAACAAATGTGTGTCTGTGTGTCCATGCCTTTTCTGGTGCATGTTTATGGGGCATAGCTGTCAACTTTTCCCTTTTCTTGCAAAGAATCCTATTCGGAATAAGGGAATTTCCCTTAAAAAAAGGGAAACGTTAACAGCTATGTTATGGGGCTGCTAAAATGTGAGTGATTTTGTATGTGTCTTTTCTGAAATCAAGGAGTGTGATACTATGTGTGCATTCTCTGTGTTTTTGTGGGGGACAGGACAGTTGGACAATTATTCTTAGGGCCTTAAACCTGTTGTAAACCAATGAATGATTTCAGGCTTATGTTGATATGTTCCTGGTACAAAAATGTACAGCCAGTTGTCAGAGGACTTCCAAACGGAATTTTAATCTGAGTTCCACTGAACTTCCCCCTTTAATGTGGAAGCTTGCCTTATTAGCGCTCCTGGCTATCTCTTAGCAAAACAGCCCTCATTTTAGAACTGCCTGGGTCTTTGTAGAAGAGACATCAACACTTCCCAATAATAATTTAGCTTGAAAGTGGTGATCTGGCAACCCTTAGTACTATCAGCAGCCACTGTTTTCAGCCTGGTTTCCCTACAAAACTGCTATCGGTGAGCCCCTGTTCTCTTCCTGGGAATCATAGTAACACAGGCTGGTTTGAATGATACCATGGGTGGGTGGGGGGAGTATGACAACATACAGGATGAGAGTGGTTGGCTAGCTTTGATCCACCCCTCCGCCAAAAAAATATCTTACTTGGTGCAATAGTCATCAGAAGCCATTTTGAGATTGTCAATATCCAGGCAGAGTCTTGCATTGTCAGCCTTAGTACAGCAAATCTGGAAAGAAACCCCCCAGAGATATTTCATTTTAATCCAGCCAGATGGATTAGGCGGGAGCAGATGGAGAGCATCACCAAAGGATAGCTCCTGCTGGATCAGGCCAAAGGCTCATTGAGCCCAGCATCCTGTACCTGAAGTGACCAACCAGATATCTATAGAAAGCTCACAAGCAGAACCTGAATGCAACAATGCCCTCTCCACTTGTGGTTCCCAGCCACCAGCATTCAGAGGTCTGCTGCCTCCAAGAACAGAGAGAGAACATAGTCATCATCATGGCTAGTTAGGCACTGAGAGCTGCCTTCTCCATGAATTTGTGCAATCCCGTTTTAAAGACATCCAGGTTGATGGGCATCACTACACCATGAGAACAAATTCCATATTGCAATGTGTGACTTTCTTTTGCCTTAAGGCAGGCATAGGCAAACTCGGCCCTCCAGATGTTTTGAGACTACAGTTCCCATCATCCCTGACCACTGGTCCTGTTAGTTAGGGATGATGGGAATTGTATTCCCAAAACATCTGGAGGGCAGAGTTTGCCTATGCTTGCCTTAATGGCATGGGAGCAGACACCTGAAGGGGGCAAGAAATGAGTCTTTATTTCCCATCATTTCCTTCCTTTCCTTTCCTGGGAAATGATATATAATGAATTGAAAAGGATGTTCAAAATAACGTTTGTGAAAAACAACCCAGAAGCTTTTCTTTGGGGAATTATAGGGACAGAACTACCTAAACTGTATAGAAACTTATTTATGTATGCAACTACAGTGGCAAGAATATTACTTGCCCCAAAATGGAAAGAAGCAGAAGTCCCAGCAAAGGAAGAATGGATACAAAAACTTATGGAATATGCAGAAATGGCAAAATTTACCAGAAGAATAAGAAATCAAGATAACAAAGTATATATAAAAGAATGGAAATTTGTTTATTGAATATTTACAGCCAAATTGTAAACAGATAAGAACATTGGCAGGATTGTGGTAATAACCTGAAGTTTTATGAGAGTATATATTTAAAGTAGATGAGTAAATGAGCAAATTAAGTTAATTTGGATATGCAGAAGATATTGGAAAAAAATTAAGGAACTGCAGAAAGTGGGGGGGAGGAAGTCAAGTTTTGAAATGTGAAAATGATTGTAAAATTAGTGAAATGTATAAACCTGAAAAGTATAAATAAAATGTTAAAAAAGGAGTCTTCAGCTACCCCTTTAAAGCTTGCATCAAAGGGCAGATCTGAAGCAAGGACAGAATGACTCTCACCCTTTCCTTGTAATGATAATTCCATCTGGCTGGGTTTCCCCAGCCACTCTGGGCAGCTCCCAACAGAATATTAAAAATACAATAAAGCATCAAACATGAAAAACTTCCCTAAACAGGACTGCCTTCAGATGTCTTGTAAAAGTCAGATGGTTGCTTATTGCCTTGACATCTAATGGGAGGGTGTTCTACAGGGAGGGCGCCACTACTGAGAAGGCCCTCTGCCTGGTTCCCTGTAGCTTCACTTTTTGCAGTGAGGGAACCACCAGAAGGCCCTCAGAGCTGGACCTCAGTGTTTGAGCTAAACGATGGGGGTGGAGACACTCCTTCAGGTATACTGGGCTGAGGTTACTTAGGGCTTTAAAGGCCAGCACCAACACTTTGAATTGTGCTGGGAGCCAATGGAGGTCTTTCAGGACCGGTGTTATGTGGTCTCGGCAGCTGCTCCCAGTCACCAGTCTTACTGCCGCACTCTAAAACCACTCTAAAACCAAATAAATCCAGAAGACTCCATAAATAACCAAAGTTTCCATGGAACTGGATAATCGTGCAAGACCCCCCTGGCCCCCATGAGCCATTCCTTACCTGTTGCTGGAGCTCGTCAATGTTGCAGTAAAAAGGTTTGAAGTCGGTGCACACGTAAGCATTTTCGCACTCGTACCAGTCTCGGATCTTGCACTCCAGGTCAGCGTTCTCCTGTTCCAGGCAGCGCACCCTTTCCAGATAGTTCCCCAGGCGGCTGTTCAGGAACTCCATGGTTTCCTTCTCATTGCAGTTGAGGATCCCTTCATTGTGGCCGACAGGGTAGCAGTTCAGAGGGCGAGCAGGAGGAGGGATGCAGGGTGGAGGGACACAAGAGGAGCCCATGCTAGGAGGTGGAAGGCGAGTAGATGTCATGTGGCCCCCACTTCGGCAGCTGTTGTGGAGAGACGAGGCCGTATGGCCTGGAGGGGGCAGGCAGACGCTGGATCGGCGAGGAGGAAGGCAAGGCCCGGGCCGGCAGTTGACTGAGGCAGCGCTGTTTGGGTGGCAGTTTGTCGTGACCCGGCAAGGGCCCCTGAGAGACCCGCAAGTGCGAGTGGCAGTGGTGGCAGCCATGGTTGAAAGGAGCAGCTAGATGGAGGAAATGAGTGAAGAGACCCACGAAACCCAAGTCTGACAGATGATCTCCTTCCTAGAGCTTTTTTATACCATGAGCATTGGGGTGTTAGCTCCTTTACGAGGCTTTCTCCTCGTTAATATTTGTGGCGATTCCTGCCTGGCTTCTCATTAGCCTGCTCGTTACTTGCTTGAAAGGCATTTCTTGGCTTATAAATTTGCCCTTCCGCCTCACACTTCACTTGCAGAGTCAGAACTCTGCTTGATGGCTGAGTCCCTGGAATGACAGTTTTTATGGGACGCCACCAAAGCGGTCTGTCAGCATCAAACACCAGCCTTCAGTCCCTGGGCGTTGGTCATTTGAGCAGAATTATGGGCTTGGTGTTTCGCAGTGGGATTGCCCCTTCCCCTCCTTCTGCCCTACTTTGACCAACTGAAAAGCCAAGTCAGGATCTCTGGTAGACAGCAGTCATGAACCTGAGGCCTTCTGGAAATTCTACTCCAGGTATCTCCTGCTCTGCCCTCATAACTGGTGAAAGGACACCCAGGTAGCTTCTTCTGCCAGATGTGCACAGTCTTTACAGCAGAAGAGACTTGCAGATCCTATACTGAGTCCGCCAGCCTTATCTGCTCTCCTAGTCTGCTTCCTGCCTTATTGAACAGGATGTTCAGCCATGGAACAGATCTGCCGGGAATGCAGTAATTGCATCCCATACTGCGGGTCATGCATTCAGCAAGGGGTTGACATGGAGGACCTCCAAGGTCTCTTTTGGCTCTCTCTATTTGTGATTTGACTTTTCTCTGGGTCAGAAGGCATGGTTTGTAGACAAGGGCAGGACGATCTGTTGTGGTGAGAAGACTGCTGTTGAAGCCAACATTTTACATGCAACTCTGACCACTTTCCCCTGAATATTTTTTTTTTTTTTATAATGATATTTATTAAAGTTTCACAAAAATACACAAAACAAAGAAAAAAGTATAAAGTACAGCAAAAAAGTAGAAAATAAGAAAAAACATACAAAATAAAACAGTTAAAAACACAATAATGTTCCATAACCTATCTTCCTTACTCTTATTTCCCCGGACCTCCTCATACCTCCCTTCTTTGTATTCCAGTTCCATTTGTTGGTTCAGCAAATCCTTACCATTAATCTTTTACCCAATTGTTAACCTTTTTTTTTTCCCCATATCTCTTAAAGCATTACAGCTAAAAACCTCTTAGTTTCTATCCAACATCCTTCTAAAGTTCCTTAATTTTGCAATATTTCTGTAAATAGTCCTTAATTTTTTTCCAGTCTTCTTTCACCAATTCTTCTCCCTGGTCTCGGATTCTGCCGGTCATTTCCGCCAATTCCATGTAGTCAATCACCTTCATCTGCCATTCTTCCAAAGTGGGTAGATCTTGTGTCTTCCAATACTTTGCAATAAGTATTCTTGCTGCTGTTGTAGCATACATGAAAAAGTTCTGTCCTTCTTTAGCACCAGTTGGCCGACAATGCCCAAGAGAAAGGCCTCTGGTTTCTTCAGAAAGGTATATTTAAATACCTTTTTCAGTTCATTATATATCATTTCCCAGAAAGCCTTAATCTTTGGGCACGTCCACCAAAGGTGAAAGAATGTACCTTCAGTTTCTTTACATTTCCAACATTTATTGTCGGGCAAATGATAAATTTTTGCAAGCTTGACTGGGGTCATGTACCACCTGTATATCATTTTCATGATATTCTCTCTTAAGGCATTACATGCCGTAAACTTCATACCTGTGGTCCATAACTGTTCCCAGTCAGCGAACATAATATTATGTCCAACATCTTGTGCCCATTTAATCATAGCAGATTTCACCGTTTCATCCTGAGTATTCCATTTCAACAGCAAGTTATACATTCTTGACAAATTTTTAGTTTTGGGTTCTAACAATTCTGTTTCTAATTTTGACTTTTCCACTTGGAAGCCTATTTTCTTATCCGAATTATATGCCTCCATTATCTGATAGTAGTGGAGCCAATCTCTCACTTTATTTTTTAATTTTTCAAAACTCTGCAATCTCAATTTATCTCCTTCTTGCTCCAAAATTTCCCAATATGTCGGCCATTTGGCCTCCATATTGAGCCTTTTCAGAGCTTTTGCTTCCATTGGTGATAGCCACTTTCCCCTGAATATTGGAAGTACTTTGCATTCCATTAAGTACATAATGCAAATGAATGAACTAATGAAATAAAAAAAGCCTTTTAAGTGCAGATTGCTATCCCAGTCTGTATATGTACTGGATTTGAAAGTTAGTTTTTTAGGTTTTTCTCATATATATATATATAAATATATATATATATGCATAATAGCATTTTTGTGTGCTTTTACATATGGCATTGTTTATTATTCTTGATGTTTTTGCTGTAAAATCGCTTTTAGATATTTTATGGGGAGCAATTCATCAATGGAATCAAATGAATACTTATATAAATATTATTTTGCTTATTAATTTCTCGACACTGTTATTCAGGAAGAAGGAAAACAGCAACAGGCTGTGGACCAGGTGGACTGTTTCCTCCAGTTTTGCTTCAGGGGAATTATTCTCTGCTTGTAACATTCGAGCTTTGGCCTTTCCTACTTTAAGGGGACCCTAGTCTTGCTCACAATGTATTTATTGACCCTGCCAACATCCCCCTCAAAACGTTTTAGTGCAAACTCAGTGAGGGTGCTTCCAGACTGTCACTATTTTGTGGGTGGGATTCAGCAGCCTAAGGGCAAATCCATATTGCACGATTGAAGTGGATTGGGTGTTCTTGTAAAAGAAATCAAACTTTTTACAGTAAGGAAAATGATGGATTTATGTGGGATAACAATTGCATGTTGCAGCATCATACAACTTCAGACCAAACACTTAGTAAACAATTGATATTGTGTAATCTCCCTGTTAAAGGTTTGGTTTTCCCAGTAGTGATGTATGGAAGTGAGAGCTGGACCATAAAGAAGGCTGATCGCCGAAGAATTGATGCTTTTGAATTACGGTGCTGGAGGAGACTCTTGAGAGTCCCATGGACTGCAAGAAGATCAAACGTATCCATTCTTAAGGAAATCAGCCCTGAGTGCTCACTGGAAGGACAGATCGTGAAGCTGAGGCTCCAGTACTTTGGCCACCTCATGAGAAGAGAAGACTCCCTGGAAAGACCCTGATGTTGGGAAAGATGGAGGGCACAAGGAGAAGGGGACGACAGAGGATGAGATGGTTGGATGGTGTTCTTGAAGCTACCAGCATGAGTTTGATCAAACTGCGGGAGGCAGTGGAGGACAGAAGTGCCTGGCGTGCTCTGGTCCATGGGGTCACGAAGAGTCGGACACGACTAAACGACTAAACAACAACAACAACAAAATCTCCCTGCAAACTTTGTGCCAACGAATCAGGGTGAATGCTCAGCATCTGGAAGTGACCCAAGTCTCTAATTAAAGATCTCTAGGTAGTTCGCAAGCAGAAGTGTGGAAAGGGGCAATTACAGTATGACAGTAAAGTAAAATGTGGGGTGAGAAACATCAAAGTAAAATCTTGCTGAACTATTTTTTTTTTACTAGTGAGTCAAGATTCCAAGAGATCGAGCAAGACAGAGTGTTAGTAGAATGGAGACCAAGAGCTCAGTTTGCAGATATAATTCTATCCAACTACAGGGTTACATACGCTTCAGGTTACAGACTCCGCTAACCCAGAAATAGTGCTTCAGGTTAAGAACTTTGCTTCAGGATGAGAACAGAAATCGGGCTCTGGCGGCATGGCGGCAGCAGGAGGCCCCATTAGCTAAAGTGGTGGTTCAGGTTAAGAACAGTTTCAGGTTAAGAACGGGCCTCTGGAACGAATTAAGTACTTAACCCGAGGTACCGCTGTATAACGAAAGAGAAATCCTATGCATAAGGTGTGTATTTTCACTCCCATTTCCTGCTAGAATAGCCAATGTATGACTTAGAATGACAGACGTTCTGCTGGAGAAGAAATTTGGCTGGATCTACACACAGGAAAAAACCACATGCTATAAATAAGTCATAAATTAAATCATTATAACAAAAAACCCACTATGTAAAATTGCATAGACAAAGTTTTTTTTGCTCTACAGCACCATCTGGTGCCACATTTTTACAATGCAGTTACAACAATATAACTGACTGAGTGTAGCTGAGTCCTTTGTGCCCAGAAATTGCAGCACATAATTTTTAAATGCAGGAGGCTGTCAGAGCTTGGCTCTCATCAAAAGGCACATGCACTGAACTGATATTCCCCATGCCTACCCCACACATCTGTACAGGCTGGTTAAATTTATTTAATGGTACGGAAAAGAAAAGCGAGCACATGTTGTGATGCATTCCCCCATTCATAAATGCTTCACATACCACAGATCTGGAAGTAGGGGGTGCACAAGACATAAGCCAGAGTGGGGATGATACATAGAAACGTTATAAATAGCAATTGTTCAGTATAGCACTGGTGAAAACAGCAGGGGATTGAGGTTGGTGTGTGCATTGGCTTCCTGTATTGGTTGTCAACTGTGAGTCAGGAAGACGGGCTCTACTCAAAGAGGGATCCTTCCTGGCATCTCTACCACCAGCTGCTGCAGAAAACTGCCTTGGTGTGCTAAGACGTGATCCAGGCTAAGTTAGACCACATTCACACCATACATTTAAAACACGGTGATACCGCTTTAAAGAGCCATGGCTTTCCTCAAAGGATTCTGGGAGCTGTAGTTTGTTAAGGGCATTCAGAGTTGTTAGGAGGCCCCCGTTCCTCTCACAGAAGCCTTACAATTTGCAGAGTTTCCTGGGATGAGGAACTGACTGTTAAACTACTCTTAGAACTGTAGCTGCTTCTAACCACTGTTAGCACCCTTAACTACAGATCCCAGAATTCTTTGGGGGAAGCCATGACTGTTCAAAGTGGTATAATGATGTTTTAAAAGTACGGTGTTAATGTGGCCTTAGTTGCATTTATGAATCAGCAGGAATGAAGTTGACACTATCTGGTCCTGTTGACTTACAGTGCAAGTCTGTTCAGGTCTACTCAAAAGTAAATCCCATTACGTTTAAATCGAGATAGTACCAATCTGTCAATTTTGGTTTCTCTCAGTTTCCAAGGTTTCCCCAGTCTTAAATTTCTACCTCAGTTTGCAATTTAAAAGCAAAACAAAAACTCCACAACACGTTTTCTCAGAATGGATACGTTTGTACACATTTCTGCAAAGTGATTTCCCTTAAAATAACACATTTTGCATGCCATTTTCAACAATATGTGCAGTTTTATGGACACTACCCCAGTATATATGCATTTTCTGTATATGCTACCTGACTGAAAAACTGCATTGCAAAATTCAGAGAAGTGCAAATTTGAAGGGTGGCTGTGTTTTTGATCCTTGTACTGTTTCAGAAAGCGCAAATCAGGTCAGTTGTCTCTAAATGAGAATCAAATTGAATTTCTCCCCTATCTGTACTGTTGATGAGGCTTCCTCCCTGATAAGTTAGGACTGCCGCATTAGTTTGGACACAGCCCATTATGAGTAGGCTGTCT